ATGGCACGATGCATGCCCATGGGCCCTGGAACACCCACTCCTCTAAGTGCCACTCTCCCATCTACTACCCCTCTCTAGCAATCCCTTAGCTGTACTCAGTGGTATGGGCTGTTGTGGCATGGATAGGGCATTATGCATACTTGAAGACTGAAAAATGGCTATACCTTGGTGATGTAGGGAACAAAGTCTTTTCGGAAGGGCAAGCGACATCTGATGAACCACATGGCTATAACATGATGAGCCAGGCATACAATATATTGATTGAATCTAAGAAAGGAGGAATGGAAGGAAAGAACTGGAGGTTAGTCTTAGCAACCAAGAATAAAAAGCATTTAGAATTTCTAAGGGCAAACTAGAGATACAAAAGTTATAACCAGTCTCTAAAGGGCTAAGCATTAAGTGAGTAAACTTTGGCAAATCATTTATTCTAACATTAAGGCGGGTCTTCCATCTGTAGTTACTCAGATATGCTATTTCCAGAGAAAAAGCTCAGCTGCTGAGTTTATAATGGATGCACCTCACAAGCTGCAGCAAGCACAGCAAGGAACTTACTTGGAAGGGTTTGTGTATGGCAGGGAGATGGCAAACACACTTGCATACTGCTCGGCAGCAAAGTTCCTGTACAGGTGAGGCAATCTGGCTAAAGCTGAAACATGACAGGGGAAAAAAGGGGGTCAGGAAATCTGGGCCTTGACTTATCAAATGGGAACCACAAAGCCCCAGCTGGCCTGAAGCTACTAGTAATGAGAGGATGTGTGGTGTGTACATACAAATAGTATGTACTGATGCACACACAAACATACACAACTGTGTGCACACATCTGCACACTTGCGCTGTCTCGGGCTAGTCTTCAAAAGCCAACAAAAGTATTTCCAGCCAAGGAGGTTCAAAGTGGTTCAAAGTTATTCAACAAACACTTTAAAAGCATCAAGTAGAGTGTAGAGAGCATTGTGCTAGAAAAGATCTGAAGTTAGAGAAATTTTCCCTGCCCTCATAAGGCTTATAGTCTAGCAGGCAGACAACACACAAAGATAATTACAATGCACAATACTCCATGAGCAATACATCAGAAAGGTATAAAGTACTATATGAAATCCAAGTGGGGAAGGCTGTTCTAGACCAAGGGAGCACAGGCAGGAATGGGAGGTACACAACACACTGGGTGACAGTCTCAAAAGCTCTAAGGTCAATTATGCTATCTGACGCCGAATCCTCAGCACACCAAAGCAGGCTGTCCTGGATCACAATCCTGATGAATTCGAGACGAAAGACAGCATCAGGAGCACATTTACTCGATCTTGCTACTCAGACCACTTACTTGAAAGGAATTCCAGGAGCGGGATAGCCATGTTGGCTGTTGCAGAAATGTGTGTGAGCTTCACAATCAGGACTGGCAACGCTTTGATGATGACATCTGGCATTTCCACACTGCACACTGACAGTGCCACAACACACTGGTTAGCGCACCGGTAAATGAGGCCATGCTCCAGGCAATATACCATCTCCCGCTGGAAGGAGACACAAGAGTTATCAACTTGAAACACAAAAAGGGAAGACACAACCACTTCACTTTTCTAAAAGTTCTTGATTTTAACAGCTTCAGGCTCTACAAGCATCTCATAGCTAAAGGTGGACATCTTCTAAAATCAGGTGGTTTTGTGAGGCCAAACACTGGTAAAGGCAACATCTTTAAGGCTAGGAGATTATAGTCCTTCTCTTGCCAAAGTTGGGTTTTCACCAGAAAGGGCTCAAGTGGTATCCATCCACTAGAAAAAGCTTTTTTTTTTTTTTGCTTTTTGGTGAGGCAATTGGGGCTAAGTGACTTGCCGAGGGTCACACATCTAGTAAATGTCAAGTGTCTGAGGCAGGATTTGAACTCAGGTTCTCCTGACTCCAAGGCTGGAGCTCTATTCACTGAGCCACCTAGCTGTCCCCAAGAAAGAACTTTTTCAAGAGACAGAAGTCAGCCTGTCACACAAGAGATGGGAAGAAGGAGAGTCAGGTCCATCTGCAGAAGCAAACACTTTCTAGCACCTAAACAAGTGGGCAGAGGGGAGGCAGAAGGTAAAATGTTGGAGTCCATTTAATCTAAGCTGTCCTTCAAGTGACCTTGCCGTTAAACCATTTCTCTCCTACAAACTCCTTCCCACATTGTACCTGTTTAGTTTTATCCAGATAGTTATGGTAAGAGATCAATGCTGTCAGCACTGGAACCACTGCCAAGTGTAGGTCTGTCCGAGAGAAGCCATCAGGCGTGCCACAGAGTCGCTCAGGAGTCTTTTTATCTGAAAGCTAACAGAGGACACGTTCTCATTAGTGCACATCCACCGAAAGACCAACGGCAAGATTTCAGGGGCAGACATGCTGGGGAGGGGAGAGTGGCTGGATTTCAAGGCATGAGAAGAACTGGGGCCCTAGGATAGTCTTTTCTCGCCAAAGGCTGCAGTGTTCCCAAGACTGCCAGGCTCCAGCAGGGCATAAATTCCCTTCAAGGGGTGAGAGAAGGTATCAGCTACATCACGTGCTCTACCCAGAAAGCGGCTGCCAAAATCACCCAGAAGCAAAGAGCACTAGAAAGAACAGAGGGTTTGAACAGGAAACTTGCTAATTTGCTTTCAAACAATTCCTTCAGTCACTCTACAAAGCAGGTCAATTTGGAGTCAAGCCAGGTTTAGGCTTCTGACTCATAGTCCTAGAACTGAAAGGGACATGTAAGGTCATCTAATCCAGTGCTTATCTGAAGCTTGAATTTCCTCTATGCCCTAACTAGGAGAGTGCCATCTCCTTGAAGATTTCTAGGAACAGGGCACTCACTAACTCCAAAGACAATCCATCCCATTTTCGAACAGCAATAATTGTTAGTAAATTGTTAGTAAGTTCTTCCCCAACATCAGTCTGAATCTTTCTCTCTGTAGCATGGACAGTTCTCGTTTTGTCCTCTGGGGCCAAGCAGCAGAACAAATCTAATTCCTCTTTCACAAGACAACCCTTCTGATACTTGGAGATAATGCCCATGTCTCTACTTTTTCCTTAACAACTGCTATAAATATGCCCAGGCTAAATATGCCTATTCATTGCACAATACACATTCAAGTCCAATTGATCTGCCTTACAGTAGCGTGGCGCAAACATGCTCACCTCACCCTCTGAAAAGCATACCACAAACCCACAACATCATCTTTACAATCAGAGCACCCAGGTTTATGCTGACTGCTGGTGAAGGTGTTGGACAAACAAGGTTCAAAGCCAACATGAGCCTGTTAATGAAATCGCTTGGGTTCTGATCCTCTGAACCACTGACTGGTGCTCCCTGCCAAGCAGCTCGCCTTCTAGAGCTCAGATTCTTCCTGCTGAAGAGGGAAAGCCATCTATTGGCTCAACCTGGCCCACTCCAACACACATCTTTCTTTCAAGGGACACTAAAAAAGTCTTACAGATAACTGAAAATGTCAACATTACCATTGAGCAAAGAGCAGAGGAGAGCTGGTCTACATTGCAAGAAGAAGTGAAAATGAGAACTTTATATCGGAGGGATTCAGGCAGCTTACTAAGAACCAGTTTCAATACTTTCCAGTCAGTCTCCTGGGGAAGAGAAAGGAGAGCACAGTTAATACGGGATTTAAGAAATTACTGGAAAGATGTAACATGTGTCATCATTTTAGGTTTTGTTTAAAGGCTTAACTTAAAAACCACCAGCATTGCTCTTTCCTAGTCTTACTGTGAGGTAGGCCTGCAGAAATCATGACTTCTGTTCTCAGTCCCCATGACCCTATGCAATGCTATACTATTGAAAGAAAGAAAAGGCTTCCTGAAAAGTGCCCCCAAGTCAAAAGTAGGCCTCAGAACAAAAAAATGGGACCAGGTGGGAGAAACCAGGCTATAAACCATAAGCTCCTTATCTAATTTGTGAAAAGCCTTTTCTGATTTCTCCCCACTCTGGCTGGATTTAGTGCTCCTGACTCTGCCAAGTGGTGAATAAGCAAGTGCCCACCTGCACAGGTATGACAGCAAGTAAGACCTCTGCCCCAGGCCCTTATGCTCTCTGCTCCTGTCACACACACCACCTTCTCTCCCACCCTCCTTGCTCCTCTGGCCCCCACTAGGGCACCAGACCTCATTTTCTCCAGGTACTGCTTTGGCAGCAGTATCAATCAAGAAAAAGTAATAAAGAGTTCTTCAGCAGTAGATAAGTTCATAACAACAACAATCATCATCATCATCATCATCATCATCATCATCATCATGGATAGCATTTATATAGTCTCTACTAGGTGCCAGATCTTGTGCTAAGCACTTTACAACTATTATCTCATCTGATCCTCATAATAGCCCTGAAAGGTTGGTGCTATTATTATCATCATTTTTCCCCCCTATTTTTTGGCTAGGCAATGGGGTGAAGTGACTTGCCCAGGGTCACACAGCTAGTAAGTGTTATGTGTCTGAGGCCGGATTTGAACTCAGGTCCTCCTGAATCCAGGGCCGGCGCTCTATCCACTGTGCCACCTAGGTGCCCCCTATTATTATCATTTTAACAGCTAAGGAAATTGAGGAAGGCAGAAGTAAAATGACTTGCCTAAGGTCACAGAACTAGTTAAGTGTCTGATACTGGATTTGAACTTAAGCCTCCCTGACTCCAGGACCAGTCATCTATCCCCTGCACCATCTAGCTGCCTACCTACTACATGCTTTGTAGCACCAAGACCACATTTGGCCACTTTATATCCATCAGAAACAACACAGTAACTAGAAACTGGTACCTGGTAAAATTTTATTATGATATTATCCCTACTCCATCACTATTTCTAAATAACTCTTTCTAAAAATGTACATTCCCATGCATGTGAATTCAGCAGCAAATCTGTCACAAGGAATCAGAGATTCCAGTTGCAATGCTTGGGCCTCAGAATAGCACAGAAGTCTTTGGAATGCTCTTGAGTAATGTCAAGTCAGTCAATTCTGTACAGTTTAATTCTGTACAGTTAACAGCCAGGAAAGAACTTTGAAGACAACACATCCAGATCACTTTCAACCACAAGGGAGCTATTTTAGGGATACTGGTCTTATTTTTATTCTGAAGCAAAAGTCCAAATTATAGACCACACATACTCTCAACTGCTTCCTTAACTAAGAAAAGCTACATTTAAAGGTAAAAGCAATAACTGCTTACCTGCTTCAAACACTGAAGGAGCACCCCAAAGAACCGGGAATAGGGCAAATAGCCCAAGCGGACAGATGCGCCCTGCGCAGCAATGCTGGGAGGCCCCGTGGGTGGAGAGAGGGTACCACCACTGGCCTTCTTCTCACAGCCTCTCTCAGGTTCTCTAAGGGGGAAGCCAAAGTGAAGAGTGGGGAGAACAGAAACACAGGTGCTTACTCATTAACAAAGATCCTGCGGCCCCCTTCCCGGCCAGCCACCCTGGGGGACTCCTGTCAATGATCTTACAGGAAGAAATCCAACTCCCATCAGGTGGCTGCTGCTAATGTAAGATTTGCGTAACTAAAAACCAATGCTAGGCATCAATCTAACAAAGGAAGGGAAAGACCAGAAGATTCGGAGCCTAAACCTTGTAGCTACTACTGTAAAAACCTCTAGGGACATCATTTCAAGAATTCAATTACTCAACAGAGGCCATCTACTCTACCCAAATGTCCATTATGGAGCACAGAATTAATAAAGATGATAAGTCTAACTAGTCACCAATTTGAGAAGGGAGATAAATGTGGCATTTGAGGGGAAAGGCAACAAGATGAGAAACATACATGTTGTCACAGAGGCAATAGGGGCTAAATCTCACAACACCATCTTTATTGGGAAGGCCAAGACGATGGAGCGAATCAGCTCGGAGCAGCAGCAAGAAGTCAAAGGCCTGGAAGAGAATAAATCGACAACTCAGATAAGACTAATATTCAAAGACACAAGAACGAAAGGAGTCACATTCTGTCTACTTCCAGGCTCAATGGACACAGCAAAAAGGGTAACCACGCATGGAAGGCACATGAGTGCTTGGCTCAAGCAATGAAGGAACTTCAGCTCCAGGTGACAGAAGGCAACTTCAGCCAGAAAGGAGAGTTGCCATGTTCTATTACTAGCTTTGCTAATGCATTTGCCTATGGACAAGTCACTGTACTGTTCCTCACCCTTAAGTCAGCAGACCCCCATCTCTCAGCAACAGAGGATTCAAGGGGAAGGCCAAAATCCTTCCTTACAGCAGGATCACAGCTTCTGTCATGCTGACCAGTACTTCTAGACATACCAGCACCCATCGCAGGGAAGGATGCTTCATGACCAGAGTAGCCTAGGAAGCCTCTGATTATAGTTTCCTTTTCTACCCTCCCTCAACTGACAAAGGCTCAGCAATGACCTACTGACGGGAAAAAAAAAAACCCTAGCCATTACAAAGGCAGAGGTATTTGTGGCTAAGGACTACATACCCTTGAGATCTCCTCCTCTCCTCCAGGCCTCATTCTCTGCCACATCAAGAGTCAGCTGCCAGGTGCAACAGACACACCAGAAACACATTCTCACATGAAAGGGAGTGTCAGGCTGATGAAAGGCATGCTTTATACCATCTACGCCTAGTTCTAGTTTTGGGATTGGTGGCAACCAGCAATTAGCAGGAAAGAGACATGAAGGAGAAAACTTGGAACATTTTCCACCGCTCTACATTACTGTACAGTCCCTGTAGGCTTATTAGGACTTCTATCTTTGAACATTCAGCCATTTTTGTGGCATTGCTTTGTTCTGCAAAACTGGATGTCAAACATTTTCTAATCCATCTAAGACCTACAGTCACTCTTTTGGACTCCACCACTAAGTCTGAGAGGCCAGTTCATACCTTAAGCCTGATACTGCTGGCGATTGGAAGCCTATACATGTACTTATAATGCAGTTGAATGTGATTGACCAGCATCTCATACACTCTGGAGGCATGACTGGCTGGCAAGGTATAGAGCTTGGTCTGTGGAAGAATAACATAACAGTTAGTTAGCTGAACAGTGAAAATGTTCATCTGCTTTCATCAAGAAAGAACCATAACGGAACCTAAAAATATTCATATGACATACTGTTTTGTGGGAGCAGGGGCAGGCAGAAAGTATTTTTTCTTTAGATGAGTTAAATTCTCAATTTTTTTTTTTGTCCACTGATTATGCTGGTGGGACCAAGGATTCTTGAACCACCTTCCTGGCCCTAGTCATCCTGTTCCCAGAAATTAATTCACTAGAACCTCAGGGCACCATGGCATATTTTAAATTTTCAAGAGAAACATAATAGATCAGTATCTGTCTCTGTAGGATGCCTAGGCTTGAGGTAGTGCACAGCTTCAAATTTAGATCACACCACATTCTTTTATGTGATGTTCTCAAATGTTTGAGACACATTTTTGCTTACTTGTACTTTCAGCTATGCCAGTAACTTCTCAAATTTTCTTGTTTGTGATATATCTTTGTAAAGCTGGGTTTTCTTTTTGTTGGTTGCTGTGATAAAAAAGCAAGTACTGTATACAAAAAAAACCAGTGTGGAACAAGAAATGAAAGTGGTGGTATCCAATCTGATTCCCAGGTTTGAGAAGCTGTGCAGTGCCCAACAAGCACACACAGTCCATTAGCAAGTAATTGTGATGATTTAAGAATGAAATAAAACAATCATTTTTTCTTTCCATTTATGTGTATTATTTTTTCAAATGGCTACTAAATTGTTAGGACATGAGCATTTATTGTTTGGATCTAACTACTTAATAAACAGAACTGTTAGGCAATTTCTTGTGGCCTAAGGGCGTTGTAAAAAAAAAAAAATTAGGGGCAGCTAGGTGGCGCAGTGGATAGAGCACCAGCCCTGGATTCAGGAGGACCTGAGCTCAAATCTGGCCTCAGACACATAACACTTACTAGCTGTGTGACCCTGGGCAAGTCACTTAACCCCCATCTCCCAACCAAAAAAAAAATTACTGGGACACTAAGGCACTTTAAACTAAGAAAGGTTGAGAATCTCTGCACTAGAATCTGAGAGAAGATGAGTCTGCTTTTGATGAGAAATGAATAAAGTGATGTCTATCTTCTAATTAAATTTCATGAATTATTAATTCATACCAAAAAGAATGTAGCTATTCATTTCCACAAACATGTTATTAAATACCTGCTACATGTGCTAGTCACTAGTCACTAGGAAAGATAAAAATTTTAGATAAGGCATAACTCCTGCCTCCACAGAATTTATAATCACAAAATCTATAGACACACACAAACACTGTAACTATGATACAAAAGCACATATCTCCCAAGCCCTTATCCTAACCATGTCTTCTTTTCACTGTTCAACTCATAGGAAGAGTCTATACTGGCTATTCCTATTTCCTCACCAGCCACTCACTTTTAAAACCCCTCGCAATCTGTTTCAAACCCACCACTCTCTAGAAACTGCTCCCGCAACAAAGGTCAGGAATGAGCTCCTAAATGCTCATCCTCCACCTTTCTCAGTCCTCATCTTCTGTGACTTTTGGGTAGCATTCAGCATTCCTCCTGAACACCCTTTTCTCCTCTGGCTTCTGTAGCACCAATTTCTCAGAGTTTTCTTCCTGTGTGACTACTCGTTTTCCTTCTTTCTTGCTGGATCATCATCTCCTGTCCCCTAAATGTCCCCAAGGCCTTGTCTTCAGGCCTCTTCCCCTATCTCTCTGCATTGTTTTTCCCATCTGCTCCCATGGACTCAATTATCCTCTTTCTACAGATGGTTTCCAAATCTATAGATCCAACCCTCACATCTTTTCTGAACTTTCATCTCACAACCTGTCTCCAACTGCCTCCTAGAAATCTTCACTTGAATATCCTGCCAAAGCCTTAAACTTGACTATATCCAAAACACACCTTCTGAGAAAACCTGCCCTTCTTCCAACTGCCATTTCTGCTGATGACACTACCATTCTCCTAGTCGTATATACTTGAAACTTCATTCTTCCTTCACTGGCCCCATCTGACATCCAAGCCATTGCCAAGTCTGCCTCCTAGTTCCATCTTTCACATCCATCTGCTTCTCTCACATCCACACTACTACTATTCTAAGGCCCTTATCACCTTTCGTCTGGACTATTAAAATAACCTCCCCACTGGTCTCCCTGCCTTGAGTCTCTCCCCAGTCCCCATGATCCTAATCCATCCTTCCCACTACTGCCAAAATTAACTTCCTAAAGCATGGATTTGCCCATGTTTTGCTAAAAAAATCTTCAATGGCTCCCCATTGCCTCTAAGATAAAATACAAATTCTTTAACCCAGCACTCAAAAGTCCTTCAAAATTTGGTTCCAACCTATCTTTTTCGGCCTTATTTCCAGCTTATTGTCCTCTAAATACACTATATTCCTTATTTCCTTATTTTCCTTTAAATACACCATAATGTAACCCTAACTAGTTGTTCCCTAGGCTACCACTTCATTGCCTCCCTCTATGCATTACTGGAATCTACCATATCTAGAATGCATTCCCTCCTCACCTCTGCCCTTCAGAAGCTTTAATTTCCTTCAAAGCTCAGCTCAGGCACCATCTCCTTTGTGACACCTTCACTGATCCCCCGAAGCTGAAAGCGTGCTCTCCTCTCTCCTCAAATTTTCTTAGAGCACTGTCTTTTCACTCTTTGGCTCCCAGCACTCCTTATCTCATACTACACCCATTTGTATGGTATAGTCCTTCTTCAGTAGAATGTTAGCTTCCTGAAAGCAAAGACTTGCATTTCTGCATTTGTATCCCCAGCATAGTAACTTTACCTTAAACATAGTGGGAGCTTACAAGTTTTCTGAACCAACCTGAAACTGAATAAAGGTCTGAGGAAGGAAAGATCATTCTCATCTTGGGAAGGAACCAGAAAAAGCTTCCTAGAGGAGGAAGGTTAAAGTTGAGTTGAACGTTAAAGGCTGGGTAGGAACTGAACAAGTTCCTTAAGTCTTATCCATTCTAACAGATGTGACACTCCCTGAGGGTAGGGATGGTGGTGGGGAGGGAATTCCAAACTCAGTAAATAGCATAAACAAAGGCATGCTAAGAAGTCTTATTTGGACAGAATAGAGTATGTAGTGAGGAGTAGTATCAAATAGGAATAGAAAAATAATAAGAAATAAATTATATGTATATAATATTTTAAGATGTACATAGCCATTTC